CCCCAAAACCCCAAAACCCCAAAACCCCACAGATTGATTAAGATTAGTGTTGAGTTAATCAGATATATAATTTAAAATTTAAAATATGTTTGCTTTACTAAATTAGAGATAGCAAAATGGCACTGCCACTCAAAAGCTATCAAACTCCAGCAACCAAATTTAACCCAAATAAGAATTGTAAAAGAAGGATGTTTACACAAAGCAAATAGCAAAAAGCTAATTTGAATAAAAGAAAGAATCTCCGCCTCCTAATGTTGATAAACTCCTCTAAGCTGAAATTTAGCAACTTGAGAGTTAAAGACAAAGGGATTAGATATAAACCCCTAAATAAAACTTAAACAAATAGTTTATAAACTAAATCTCTCTAACTGACTCATAGAAGTTAGAAAAAGCGATTAATGAATTAGCAAGTGATGATGAGTTGAGTTAAGTTTAACCTTTGAAAAATGTAAGAAAGTCATATCTTAGAACAGATGATTCGAAAAATTTGAAGTTTAAAGATGTCAGAGAGAAAGAGGAGGAAAAATTAAGAACAGCAAATAATAATACCGCAAATAGCAAAGATGCTACCAAAGCTTTTACTGATGCTGATCTGACTGATAGAAAGAACATGAACAATATAACTGCAGAGGATTCTAAAAGTGTAGATTTAAATATGTCTGAATTTGAAGACAGTGAAATGATCATTCCTGATGATTTGGTAGATCTAATGACTCAAAGATAAAACAATATATTAGCAAAGCCCACTGGCAACGTATCTAGAACTAATACAAATGAAGTTAATCAGAGTAATAATATGAAACCCTCTAATTTGCAAATGCCTGAACAGACTAATGCTATTCCATAAAATAGTACAGCTCTATAAAAGCAGAAATCTGATCAGTTGAGCAATTAAAATCTAAACAGAAATTAATTAAGTCTTCCTAAGCCAATTGGATCTAGGGAACTTAATTAAAAGTATTCTGGAATCTCTGGCCTTAGTAGCATAAGATAGGAATAAAAATAGAACTATTAATAGTTTGATAATAGTTTCATGAGTTTAGATCTCAATGGAGGAGGATCCAGAAATAATAATGATTAGCAATACAAAAATTATAACTCATATGAGGAAAATTAGAAATAAAGGAGATCATTTTATGTCAAAGGACCTTATTAGAATTAAGATAAGCAAATGTTTAATGAAGCCAATCAATAGCAAAGTAGAGGCTCATAAGAGAGCAGCAGCCAAAATATACTGTGGCATTACTAAACCTTGCTTCAACAAACTACAAGATAAAACGAAAATTTCCTTCAAATTGTTTAACAGAAGGATAATTAGATTATTAGCATTATTCAACAATAAGAAGATTATAAAGATAAATACATAAACTCATTGGAGTAGTAGCTGAAGTAAAAAGATGAGTTTCTTTAGTAGATGCTTTAGACTCTAAATTAAATATCTCAACGGTCAATATCAGTTTAACCTACTTCAAACACCAAGAAAACTAAAAGAGGCAGAGTGCAATTTTAAGAAGAGCCAGAAGAAAGTGAAGAGTCTGATTCCCAAAATAGACCTCTGATTAAACAAAAACAAAGGGCATAAACTATATTTAGAAGCTCAGCAAACTATTCCTAGAAATCTTCTTAATACTCAACCAAAAATGCTCCTTAAATTATGCCAATTTAAAATCCTTAGAGCACTGAAAGCTTTGGCTTCTTCCGTGGCGGAAATCTTAATTAAAAGCTCTAAATCAAGCCTGAAAATATGAAAAAGATAGCCAATCTTTTTTCAGATAGTAGTGAAAATGAATAGAGTAAGTAGAAAGATGTATTGAGTTCAGAGGAAGAATCTCCATCCTTCAAAAAAATCATGCAAATCAAAAAGAATATAGACAGCGATAATGATAGGAAGTAGCAATTACTGAGTTTAGGTGGTGGATTTCAAAATGTTGAGAAGAAGTTTGTTGCTCCTACAAAAATAGACCAGAGAAAGCCTTAAGATGTAGAAATGACTGAGGACTCTGCACCTAAATAGCAACTATTCCAGCCTCCTAAACCGATCCAGAATAATGCAATCAGCGCAGGAGGTGGAAACTTTAAATTTAAGAAGGATTATATTACAGAAGTAAATGAAAAGAAAAGAAAATTAGATGAGATCATATAAAGCGATAAGGAGGAGTAGATGCCTGAGAACCGAAGGAATAGTAAGAGATTCTGCATGAATGAGGAAGAGAGATAGAATTAATAGGTAAATATAACTCTTAAAGAAGTGGAATATTTGTTCTAAAAATCAATGCCTGTCAAAAAGATTTCTCTGAAAGATTCATTTAGAGACAAGTTAAGGACATAGGAAGCATAGTTTCATCAATAAATTACAGATATTTTTTCTGGTGCTAAATTTTAAGTAGATTGCATTTGCATGAGGCAGTCAAAGGTACTCAAAGTTACATGTGAAATATGCGAGGATAAAACTAAAATAGTTCCTACTGATATTTTGAGGATATTTGAAAAAGTACTTAAGCCTACATCAGAAGAATTTGATATTGTAAGATTGCAATTATCATATAAATTATTTGTAGGACTGGATCCAAAACTGTTTTAATCATGTAATATGGAAATTAGCTAACTACTCTAATATTGATTAGTAAGACTTCATCAATCTAGAGAATGTGATTCATCAAATGTTTAAAAAGTAATAATGTTTATTCAATTTTTATATTAGGTATCACCATGAATTCACCTAAGGTAAAAGGACTTTCTTCTAGAGAATAGTATAAAAAGACGAAGGATGCCATTAGCATTTCGTTGGAGTAGTTGCCTCCCTCTAAAAATCGAAGGATAATCCTATTGAAATTTATTTTTCTGATGGGGCTTATTTACTTAAGTCAATCTTAAAACCTTATGGAGATTTCAATTATGGAGACGATCGAATAATTAATCTTATTGAGAAAGGAAAGATATTTGTAGGTTAAAAACTAAATATGATGAACCAGGCATTGATCAGAGATAACAACTAGCATAAACCTTCCTCATTTATCTCTCAAACGAAGCATTATTTCCTAAGTTTACAGAGCAAACACTTACTTTAGCTAAATTTCAATGGAATATGGAGAGCAAAGGCATTTGATAAACTTGGACAATAAAAACCTAAAATAATGATTAAAAACCTTAATTCAATTGTCTCTAATTCAGGACCAATCCCAATGCTAGATTGTGTAGTTGTTAGAAAATATCCATTGTATTTTACTGAATTCTAACAAAATGAAAATGGACAAAGCTAAAGACTCATTAGAAATAAGTTATCAGTAGAGGTATTATAGTAAAAATAAATAGATAACTATAATGAGGCAGTGAGGAAGCTTTATGACTCAAGAAAAGCTAAGGACGGCCCTCTTGATTAATCTGTACTAGACTAGGTCAGAAGAAAGCATATTTCAACTTTTAAAATGATGTTCAAAATCAAGATTTCAGATACATTCAGCCCGAATAACTAGGCGATTATATCATTCTTTGAGGCAAATGAAGATATGTATTAATATATCAGTCCAGGAGATAGACTGAGGCTTTCAAACGTGAGTCCTTCATTCTAGCAGTAGGAAAACATCATTAGTTTAAATATGGTCAAGAGTTCTAAGATATTCCATTATACTTAATCAGTTTTAAAGCCTAAAAAGCAGCTTGAGCTTATTGATCAGTATAAAGAACTAGAAGAGAAATCCATCAATTTCCAAGAGTTTAAGAAGAATTACTATGGTTTAAAAAGAGAAGCAGAAATCTAGGTTTGCGGCTTTGTGTTAAAATTAATATCAATCAAGGCAAACAACTAATCAAATGTGTAAAACTAGCAGTAGCATGTTGCAACGTCTAATGTGCAAAGTGACCAAGGAGAACTGTGGAAATTCCTTATTCTAACTCATGAGCAGGAAATATTATGCATTGAGATTCAGGATAAATCGTTTATTCTTACTCAAGTATTTCCTAAGGAGGGTCAATATATTTTCTTGGATAACCTATGCTATCTTCAATCTATCTACCTTTAGAAGAAGAATACTTCTATTCTTACATTTCAAGAACCTCAGACTACTTTAAGCACTAGTAGTCTCCTTCCTTAGGATAACAATTCCTTCTACTATGATGTGTTGAAGATGTCAGTCAGGAGTCTCTACAAAATGATTCCAGCGAATCATAATGAAAGCACTCAAACTCTCAAACTTTTAGTAAAAGAGAAGAGCGTAATGAAGCATATAGAAAGTAAAGTCAAGATAATTATAAATTAAGGTATTAAGAGAAGCCAAATGAGCTAGTCACAGAATATCGACAATAGTGAAATTTCTGAGATTTGATTAATCAACCTGCTTTTAAGGAAGTGTATTATTGATATAGAAGTTTGATATTTTACTATAATTTTATTTCTGAAAATACTTTAAGAAGATTTAATTTGAATATTGATGAATAAAACACTTTAATTAGGAGCAATTATTGATCATAATTCAGTTTTTGGCTTTCATGTATAAATATGATGCTAAGAATGAGGTGGTTCCAATGATGCTAAATACTCCCAACAACTAAGATGTCTTAACTCCACTTTGAGCTGCAGTCTGTGATTCTTGTAGATCTTTATCGTCAGATCCATCCAAGCTGCTCGTCCTCAGCTTCTTAGCCTTTGCTCTCTTCTGAATGGCTTTCAATTCTACTCTAATCTTGAATATTTCCTCTAGATGTTCGTATGGAATTACAGTGTTCTCAGCAGTGAGCTTCAAGGCATCATCTATATCTTGAAGACAAGAGTCCAAGTCACTAGAGATATAGTCTAGATTGGCAAGATGTAATCTGTATTTCATCTTGATTAGGATTAGATCTTAAGAACTCTTGGGGTTGATATTAATATGCTAAACTTCATCAGAGTTCAATTCTTAAACACTTTCTATGCTTTCAATTGCTTATAGGATATGCTCTCTAGATTCTGGTATTTTACCAGTCTTCATATAGAGTTAAGCTGCTACAAAGTGGTTGTTACTCACATTGATGCTTTTTACTCCATACAATTCCTTGTTTACCTGGCAAGCTTAGTCATTATACTCAATTCCTTTAACTTTGTCACCTCTATTCACAGCTGACTAGTACAAACAGTAATATATCTGTGATAACTGCTCATTGTCCTCTTTTTTGCTATCCTCTGTCACATCATTTAAAGGATTAGCTTGTATCTCTTAAATAATTTGTAGAGCAGCTTGGTAACTCTCTTCTGCTTTTTAATATAAATTTCTCTAGTACTGACATATTCCTATATTCTTCAGAGTATAGATTATAACTTCTCTGTCATGAAGATACATCTTTTCCTAAATCAATCTTACTCTTTCCCAGTAGTACAGTGCTGCATCATATTTCTACATTGATCTGTAAAATATACCAATGTTGACTAAAGTTTATTCCAAAAAGGGATGTTCATCAAATTCCTCAACGTAAACTAACTAAGCATCGTAAACATACTAAAGAATTTTTTCAGCTGATTGTAAAGTTTAAGGTGAGCTCATTAGACTCACTGCTGCTAGAATTTAGGCTAAGAATAAGAATTGATTCCTTATGCTCTAAGCGTCATCATTATGACACCTCTGGACTATCAACCTCATCTATGCGACATGCTATTGAGCTTAGCTGAACTGTTATTGATTAGTTAGATTTGAGACTATCTAGAGTTCTTGCTTGAGCATATAGATACTTGTTGGTCCATAGTACTACTTTGCAATTTCGAGATTTTTAAGTGATATTTGAACTGCTTTAGCTTTTTGGCTTTCTTCATCTTTAGCTGAGTACAACTCAATCAAATTATTGTTGAACTCAATTATTATGGGATGATTATCAGAATATATTGCTCCTATCATTCTTTGTGATGCTAGAAGCAATTTTTCTGCCTCTTCGATATTTTTCTTATCTATCATGATCTCGCCTTGGTATTTCAACTGTCTAGCAATTAAGTAATTCTTGGATTCCTCCTCTATAGGCATTCCCAAAATCTTAACAAGCACCTAATTGGCTTGGTTCAATTTATCCTGAGCGTGATCTAGCACTATTTTGTTCCTAACTGAAAAAACTTTCAAATGAACATCTTTTTAAGCTTTCAAAGATTTAAATGTCTCCATTATTTCGTCATGACCAGCAAGAAACTTCCCGATTGTGCGATAGGTTTCAAAGCATTTTAAGGAAGATTTAAGCAAGTGCTAGAAGCCAAACACTTTACCAAGGTAATATATAGTCTTAGATATTGATCTCAATCCAGCAATTTGTTGAGATGAAAGCCTATTAACTTCTTATAATTAGAATTTTGGTAAATCTTTTCCATCTTATTAATCTGTTTCTAATTTAAAGTAACTAATTTCATCAGCCATCAAATCTTTCAACTATTAGACAGCTTTATCATAGAAAGCAAACTTCTTAAGATAGTAGGCATATTCCCTTCTATTCTGAATCAAGTATATATTGATAAATTTGGCTTCCTTCTATTCATCTTTATTCTCTTCCTCATGTATTACTTTATTTTCTACTCCTTCTAACTAAGCTTCTTATTACTCCTAAGGTAAGGCTTAATCCTCTCGAATAGCTTACTCTGGGAATAGTTTATCTAACAATAATTGAGCATCTTAAACTAAGAACCTTTTTGCTTGCTCAAATTCCATTGTGCATTCTTGATGCTTTGCTTGTAGGTATAAAGCCTTTAACTCAAATTTCCAATAATTTTTAGGATCTTTTTATGATCTTATAATGCTACTTATATATTTGCAATGCTCATCAGCCTTAACTATGTCTCTAATCTTGCTCTAAATCTTAGCTAGCATCCATTTAGCTTTGATATGCAAATAGGTCATTTCATCAGACCTGTGAGTATCTTACTTATCTTCAATCTTCACTGATTTTTCTAATTCATTCTCTCCTTCCTTATCAACTTTTCCTTCAGTCACTTTCTCTTCTTATTTTAGAGATCTAACAGTTAAATGCTCAATTTTTTCAATTATTTCTTCTGCTAACTTGATTCCCTGCAAGTATTCTCCAGTGATGTACAAGATTTTGATTAGTTTATGCTAAATAAGAAATTCCACTACATGATCAGAATCCTTTTATGCTTAGCCCTAGAGTTCTTTAAGCTAAGTCTCAGCTTCTCCAAAGTAAGATTGATGAATTTTTTAATTAATTTCATTAAGCTTTAATCTGTATTTTTGCTCAAGATCTGGTTATAACTTGAAAGAAAGGTCCATATTTAATATTTATTCTAAAGAATGTAATTCAGCAATCTCTGCTCAAATTCTATGATTGGGGGTTTTGGGGTTTTGGGGTTTTGGGG